AAGATCTGACCTTCCCCTTTTCAAAAATCAGTTAAGGAAGGCGCCCACCACCAACAACAATAAAAAATAATGTTTCTTTTATTTACTTAATAAAAAAAGGCATGCTTTACTTGCGTATGATTTTTCTTATACTTTAAACTTTAGTTTAAAAAAAATCATTTATCGAAGCTTTAATTTTTAGAAACAATTTATAAACTTGAAAAACTTAAATTTTCGAAGGGAAGGAGGTGTGATGTTGTACATAAACTGATTGAAATTATTGGCACCGTTTGACTTTTTCTTTTTAAAGATTTTTTGGAAATAATTAAATTACAGAATAAGATGGAGTAAGAAAGATTTTCTGAAAACCATAAGTGATTGCATGAGATTGGTATATTTTGAAATTCATAATTTTATGCGATGCCCCCCAAAATGGCACCAGAAAAAGTCAATTGTACCTACTTTATTTTTATTTTTTTTAGTTAACTTTAATAATTGTTTTTCTAGTCAACAAGGATTTGCAACACTTCACGCATTCTCCAAGTTGATGCAATACTAATTTCTTTCCTAAAACGTCTTTTCAATTCGTCCAATAAGTTTTCGATAGGATTCAGGTCGGAGCTCTGTGAGGGTCAAAAAAAGAAAACTTTATATTCTTATCCTGAATAGTTCTGGGTTGGTTTAGAAATGTTTTGGATAGCTTTTTTTTTTATACCTAAAAGTGAAAGTTCAATCCCCCTTCAGTTTCAGATTGGTAGAAAAAAAAACGACACTTTGAAGCTAACTCATAAAATCTTTTTTTTTTTTTATATATAATTTTTTCAAAAACCGACCAAGCTTCTTGTTTGCAGAAAACATCCCAAAAAAAGCATGATACTTCCTCCTTGACATTTTTTAATAGGGACGATGTTTTTTGTTTTTATTGAAAGCTTTACCTTGACGTTTCCAAACAAACTTCCTGTCATTTATGTCGATAAAGTTCTACTTTTGTTTTGTCTTATCTGACAACAGTATATTCTCCCATAATGAAAGAAGCCTATGTTCATAAAAAAGGAAAGAAATTAGCCTTTTTTAAATAAGGGGTCTTACAATGTCAACATGCTCTGTCCAAACTTATTGTTTAAAATAATGTTTTTTTGTTTGTTTGTCTTTTTTTGTCATTCCATCAGCTTCTAAATTATTCGAGATCTTTTTTTTTAATAATATTTTTCAGTTATTTTCAACAGTTCTTAGGTCACGTTCTGCTCTGATCGTCAGTTTTTTTTTTTTTTCTATCACATCCAGGATTATTTTTTTTACAACAATATTTTCTCTCTTGAACTTTAATGATGTTTTGAACATATGATTTTTAGGGATAGTAAATGACATCATATCTATATTGCCTAATAATTTGCAAGCCCAATCTTGGTCTTGAAATTTCTCAGCTACAACTACATTCTGAATGTCTTCACCCTTTCAGGTAAAGAATGATGTGTAGTGTCATTTCTAAAAGTCCTGAGAAATTCCAACAACATTCAGCAGCAAGGATTCGCTTGCAGGTTAAGTGGCTGAATTTGCCAGGGAAACAGAATTTAAGTGTAAAAACAAAAAAAAACCTCTTGTCTAGTGCTTGACTGTCAACAGTCGAATCAAAATAGCTGAAACAATTCAAATTAAGGCTTAACCAACTTCATTAGGGGTGATTGAAGGTACATGAAAAAAAACTCCCGACTACCAAGAAAATTATACAGTACCTTAAGGCTTAACATGAATAACAGATTTTTCTGGAAATAAATAAATAGTTGTTTAAAAGGTATATAAATTTTCATGTTTATACTTTTATCGTGCAATTTAATTTTGTTTGGGAATAGCATTTGTATTTAAATCCAGTTTTTGTGTATACGTCCGTCTCTAACACTATCTGTCGTACATAAGAAAAAATCAACTACAATATTTGAAATTTTATTCCCCATGAACAAAAAAAAAAAAAAAAGAAACAAAAAAAAAACCTATAAATTTTAATTTTAACCAACAGTGTACATTTCATTTTTGACGTGAATAAATAGATTTTTAGGTAGAAATATATTTTTAAGCTCTTGGACATAAAATACTAGTTGTAAGCTATAATTTTGATGTGTTTTTTAAGTGTGAAACAAAGAATAAATCAATGAATGAATCTTGGCAGCTTTGAATTCATAGAAAGCAAATCAACGTTGTCAAAGATGTTATTTTGAAAACAAAAAAGGTGTTAAAAATTGGAGGGTAATCCTTTTTACTTTACAAACGTTTTTAAACGGATTTCTTTTTTAATCCAACCCATTTATTTCCTTTGTTATTAACACGTGTCGATTTCCTTTTTAATTTTCGTATGTTTCATACTTCAATGTATTATAAACTGTTCACATTATAACTACTTTATTCCATAATGCAAATTCTCAATAAATCCTTCACATACGAGGCAATTTTTATCACTTTATCCTCATCAAAAATAGAAAAACCGGCCAGTTCTGTTAAAAATAATTTAAAAAAAAATGTGGGTGTATTGTTGAGATTTTATGAAATTTTTGCTTTAGTATTTTGTACAAAAACAGTGAAAAATGCATAATTGTTTTTTTCTTTAGACAAAAGATAATTTAAATCGGATTTTTAGTTATCTGGTAAATTAAACAGAAGTTTTCAAGCTGAGATTTTAAAACAACGAATGAAAACCTTACGACTTTTAGTTTTACTGACATGTAAAAAAACATGTCAAACCATTTTTTTTTTTTTTTCGTCATCTCTAACGTGTTAATCGCCGGAGAATGTGGGACATTTTAATACCACTTTAAGGTCGACTTAAAGGACATCACAAAAACATAGCCATTTTTCTGACGGAAACACCAACAACAGTCGTTGAGGATAGAAAGACTAAAAAGGAGGAGATTGTTATGATTATGGTACACGCCAAGGAGAGAGAGAGAAAAGAAGATCAAAAATAGAAATAACAACAAACCTGCGATTTAATCTTGTTATTTCACAAAAAAAGTACCTCTCAAAACGTAAAAGAGATTAAATAAATACCTTTGTTTATATCAAAGAAGATCAGTGTTAATATTTTGGTGTGGATTTGTTTTATGGTTCAGTTGTTTGCTTGAAGACTGCGGACGACGTACCTTCCACTAGTTATTCTGCTACACAATGATTAACAAAGAGAGTAGTATGGCGGCTTCCCTGATGAATGCATATGTCAAAGGTCAAATTAATGTCCCGGTCAGAGGTCGGATGACGCTTATGACCATATTCGGAACAGAAAACACGCCTACGTCAACTTGTAAACAATAAGCAGACGCACATTGTCAATTTTTTTTCAAAATATTTAGATATTTTCAGATTTCCGGAGGAAACTATTTAATGTCATTTAAAGACAGAGCTTTTTTGAGTGATAAAGCTACCAAGACGAATTATGTCGCAAAATATATTCGGGTTTCTTCAAATTCAAAAGAAAAAAATGAAAGAAAACAAACTGTTCATTCCATTATGAAGAAATTTTTATTATTTATTTTAATTAAAATTTTCAAAAGTTTTTATTTTAAGTACGTAACTTTATAATTCTAACGGACCCGTATATAAATTGATTACTTTTCCAAAAATTCAACTTAGTTATTATTATTTACTATTTATTTTTATTTACATGCGGGCTAAACGTCCACATTTTTGTTGTTATGTATCACGTCGTTTCGGCCGTTGTGCCCTCCAGCCTTCAGGTGTATGTTAATCCGGGTACCTTACACACAGGGAAGTTCAATATAAACTCTTTTTATTTAATCTACGCGGATAGGTTGTTCTCATGCCACTGCTCATGTCTCTAGGGATATTTCGTGTAGTTCTTATTTTTACAGATTGCTTAGTTATTGCTCGCCACCCTTAAGTTCTTAAACGCATTCATGTGATTTTCACAGTACTGTGACACTGTTTAAAAAAGCAATGAACAGCAGCACGAAAAAAAAAAGGTGTTTAAAATATTTTGAATGAATAGTTTTGTTTTCGATATAACAGTAATAATCAACTACTAAGAGTTAAAAATTGAAATAATAGTTTTAAAAAAATAATCGAATCTAAATTTATTCTTGATTCAACATTGAAAACTTCAAACATCAACAACATTTTTTTGAGTTTGTCGCGGATAATTTTTTTTCACAAAATTTAAATTATTTTATAAAATTTCTTTCATTACAAGTGTTTAATTGTGGTTGCTTGTATTCAGAATAATGTATGTTTCAATTTATCTTGATAAACGTTTCATTTATGACATTTTCTCGTTCACGGCTTCATAATTTTTCAAATCGAAACGTTTACTAAACTTTGATGTTTCGAAACAACAATTTTCGATCGAAATATTTGCTTTGATGTCTTAAAACAATAATATATCCTGCTGAATTTGAAAATTTTCATTTTTATCTCTTTAATGTGGAATACCGATCTGATTGTTTGCTAACGAGACACTTTATTATTTGCAAGATTTCCCGAGTGACAACCAACTACCTGTTCGTGTTTACAGACAGTTTGTCTGAGTGTTGTTAAATTTAAAATGTTTTATTAAATTTAAAATAAATGGTATCGTTTGGAAAAGTTAACATTTATGTAAATAAAATATATTTAAAAAAATTGAAATAGAAGTAAATAAAGCATTTTTATTTCATTGTTTTCTATTTTCACAAAATAATTCAAGTGTTTTTGTTTTTTGTTTTTCAAGAGCTTAAAGAATATATATATATATATATATATATATATATATATATATATATATATATATATATATATTAATGCTTTCGAATGTCGATTGACTTTAGAAACAATTCTATTACTTCCTGCAATAAATTCAGTTTTCAGTTCACTTTTTTCTGCATGATGATTATGTTGGGGTTTTTTAGCCTCCGAAGTTTTTTGTTCAAGTTTTCTTATAACATTTCATTTGAAGATATTTTTTAAGTCTTATTTTAATTGAAAACATATTTTATGAAATTAAAATCGGGCAATTAGTGTCAAAATGAATACGTAGAAACATGTTTTCTCGTTGTCAAAATTTACGACAGTTGAAGAACACACGCTACGACGGTAAAAAAAATGAGTGAATTGCACTGAATTGTATTAATAATCGTCTTCTCTTTCTCTCACACTATCTCTCTTTCCTGGGTCATTGTCACACTTTTTACTTTATTCAAACGATAGGTTAAAACTAAAAGTAAAACATGCGGTTATATTTTCATTAGACAATTTTGAAGCTTCAATCATATTTTTAAATTTGCTCATTTTAGCTGATCAATTTGGTAATCCTAAGAAAAACAATTTACATTTAGAAATTTCCCAGAAATATTCACCCGTAGTTACAAAAAAAAGTATATTGAGACTGCTACACAAGGAAAAGTTGATCGAAAAAATTACTAAATGCCAACTGTTCGTTTTTTAATGTTTCTTAAAAACCACTTAAATATGAAAAAATCTGTTCTCTGTTTTTATTTAAATGGAATGAGGAAATTATTGGCAGAATAAATGAGTCATGTTTCTATACTCAGAGCTTTGATGAATGAACGCACTATCAACGGCTTGCGAGATCAACGTGTGTTGTGTTGCATTACTTGATCTACGATACGAACTCTGTCATTGGTCAAAATGTGCGGTTAATCTGAAATAAACCAATCATCAATCGCCTGGTTTGAACACGCTGGAAAGTTTGATTTTGGTCATCCTCATGATACAATTCATTGCGTTGTCATAGTAGTCGCTATATTTAAAAAATGTATTAATAAAGATAATAATAATATTTTTTAAATAATAAATAAAAGTCTGCAATGTAGGATATTCAAAAACAGCAACTGTACTAATACACAGGCAAAGTGATAGAAATTTGTAAGAAAGTTATGACAAGTCGTCATTGTAGTAGTATTGATGTAACGTGGTGAGAGTAAAGAGGGGGAGGTATAAGTTTTTAGAGAGGGGTACGGCAACACTAGGAATCTTTGAGGGAGTGATGGAAAGTAGAGCTAAAACGTAACAACAACAACGACAGGGAGAAACAGCGTGACTTGAAAACGAGGACGACATATACCGCCATCTCAGTGAGTAAAGTTGTGTGCATGATGAGAAAAATATCATTATATTATTTTTCCCAATTGATCGACGTCAAGAAAGGGCTGTTTCTCTGTATAGGTGGATCTCTGCAGCATCTTGTGCGCCACTTTTGCCAACTTTTTGTTTGTCTAACGGCCGAGACTGCAAGAGAAATATTTTGCAGATGTCTGATGATCGACATGGTCTCTCTTTGCTATGATTGTCGTTTCTACACGTAGTAAAAATGGAGGACGATAACATTGGCATATAAATATACAATACACTGGGTTTATATATATATATATATTTTTTTTTTTTTTTTTTTGAACAGGGGGGAATTTATATCAGTTAATGGAAAATATTTGAATTTATACACTATTGACGGAGAAATAATCGTGAACTATTTCGTTTTTCTCTTTTTTTATTTTTATTGATTCATTTAAGCTCAAAATTTGCAGACAACAAAAACAATTTTCCTTATGGGCGACTTTTGATATTTAGTTTGTCATTTCATTTTTTTTAAAACTTCACAAATGTTTGACTAATTTATAAACATGATTAGTAAAAATATCTAACATGCTAGAATTTAGTACTATAATAAGATAATAATAGGCTCATTATTTTATTTATTTTAAAATTCTACTTGAAAACGAACAGAATAATGGAGTTAAATTTGTCAGCACAGACATTTTCATTTTGAATATTTTTTGTGGTGTTCATTTAAAGAAAAACACCACAAAAAAATTGATAATTTGTTTGTCAATTATTATTATTATTTTTAATGGGTGTAAATAAGTTTTTGTTTATTTTTATTTTGTTCATTTTTATATTCGTTTTACTTACTACAATATGGGGTGTTGTGTTGTCAACAAAAAATAAACAATTTTCTGCATTTGAACATTTGTTGAAAGTTGAAACTATTTTTTTTATTCGCATTATTTATCATAACGTTTCTGATTTCATTTCCTTCATATAAGATTTATTTTTTAAAGTTGACACATTTTTTTAACTTTTTAGTTTCAAGCACAAAAATGTTTTGTCGCTTGTATAAAAAATCAGATTATTTTTTCGTTTAGTATTCGTTTTTTTGTTTATTTTGGTATATCAAATTTTTTAAAAATCAAAAAAAATTCTGAAGATTTGATTTCTTAATTACATACGCGAATAATTGAATAAAAATATAGTTGTCTTGTTTATGAGGTAAAAATATTACTTCCATCAACATTACCTGAGCAAGTTTGTTCTGTATAAATAATGACTTCGAACCTTATATTTTTCAATAATATAAAAACGAGATCTGTGATGTCATCTACTTTATATATAAACAGTTAAACAACACGAAGCATTTAAGGCAAAGTTATTAAGGTTTTTTTTAAGCCTTGTGACTTAAAAGACGAAAGCTGATTGGTTAATGACTTTAATTTTGTAAACTTTTAAAAATTAAAACTAAGGATTTGGGGGGGAGGTTAGATTAAGTATGAAATGAGTCTTGCTTCTCGATTTTTTTTAAATTAAGCTGAAACTTATTGAATAATTTGATAAGTTGAAATTAAAAAAATCATTTTAAATTCAAATTTGCTAATTTCAAATGTTATTGCAGTTAAATAAAAAAATTTAAAAAAAAATTTAAAGGCAAGAATATTGAAAATTTCTAGAGCCAATTTTAATTAAAATTTTCAATTGAAACCCTCCGTGTATAAAAATGTTGACATTAAACAAGTTTATTGTAAAAAAAAAAAAAAAAAGCATATTTGTTTTCTGTTCGGGAAAATATTTGCTCTTCAATTAATTATTTCTTGGATTTAAAAATTTAAATTGAAATAAATAATTGAAAAAATATTTTGTATTAAAATAGCATTGATTAATTTAATAAATTTATTTTTTAACGATTAACAAACATTTGTTGAGTCAGTAAAAAAAAAAGGAAGTTTTAGCAACTAAGTTGCTAAAACTTCCTTTTTTTTTTCATTCTAAATTTAAAAATGCTCAGTTTAAAAAAAAATAGAAATTAGACTATACAAATACTTTTTTTTTTATCTATTTATAAAATTTCATTGAAAAATAAAAATAATGTTTGTCGGTGTTTAAGCAAATCTTTGAAATAATAATAATTTAAATTAAGAGAGCATCTCTACAAAATTGAAACTTGGTGCATATTTTTTTTCTTTTAATTTTACATTCAGATTTTTATCACAGAGATAATCTAAATTCTAATAAAAATAAGTTTTAAAACTTTGTTTTGAATTATTTTTAATCTTTGTACAGAGATAAAAACAAAGTAGCAGTGACTTGATTATACAACTATAAATTTGTTTACATTATTTTTCAACAACTGGATTTTCTAATTATCTAAAACTTCATAAAGTGTATTGACACATTTCTACATTATGTGCTTGGTATATTCACTGTTGATAGTTAATGTGTTTTGATAAATAATCAGATTAAACTGATCAGCCTTGTTGGACCTTTTTTTTTGTTTTTTGCACACATACTGATAGCAGTCTGTCTTGTAAATCTGACTATGTCACACGCCTCATTATTCAGTCATTTTTCACATTTTTGTTATTCTGGGATTTATTTGTTCAGCTGTTTATAGCCACATGTTCTTAGATATGAAATCAGATTTTCTCATTAACTTATCATCAGTAATGGAATATAGGTTACTTGCTTTCATAATATTGTGCAAAAAAAGTAAAAAAAACTCGTGAAGTTCTGTTAAAACATATTTGAGCTGATATTGACAAATGTATGGCATGCAGTAATTAATACCTTCTTTTTTTCTTGCATTCATTAAATAATTAAAATATTTTTTATTTGCAATTTGAGAATTTCAAAAGATTTTCATTAATTTTTTTTTTAATTATTTGCTCATTGCAATGACTGAATAATTTTTTTAATAACCCTATTAATGAAATAAAAGAAAATGAAAAATTGATTGATATTATATTTTGGTAAAACATTTTTCTTCCATACAAAAAAAAACAGTTTCAACTTCATGCTTAAAAATCACACAAATTATAACTGTCTTGCTCAAATTTAGTTTGATATTATTAATAAAGATATTTTTTGCTGAATATAAAAAACTCTCTATTTGCCTTACATGTTGATAATAATTAACTACAAAGATTTAAAGATTGATATTTTGTTAAAAAAAAAAAAAAATGTATGCAACTATTTTTGTTGCATTTTATAAAATAATTATAATATAAGTAAATTGCATGTGTTGAACTTATTTTCATAATTTTAATGTTACTGATGCCATTTTAGCTTTGTGTCTGTTAGGAACATGTGTTTCATTTTCAAATTTTCTAGTCAAAGTAGTAGTTAACATAAAAAAGATTTAAATAAATTGAATGGGCATGAAATATGTGATTGAAATTGTGTTTATTTGTTCAAATGAAATGGGTAATAAAGAAAATCTGGAAAAAATAAGATTTGCTTTGTTGCATTTCTCTCTTTTTATTCATTTTTTTTTATTGCAGCTTTGTTGACCCTTTTGTGTTACTAGCAATAATTACTTTAGACCAGGTTCCCTGAACCTGCACAACCTTTCAATATTTATACTCTATGCCATTGACATTTTATTATTCTATTGTATTTGAAACTCAATCGATACATCAGTACGAACTGACTTCTCTTTAAAAGTACATCAGTCAGTTATGTGCCATGTGTGATACACACGTAGGCGATCATGTATCTTTCGATACATGACCGATGAGAGATTTTTTCTGGCAGTAAGTTGCCATTTCTTTCTGCGGTAGACCTGTGGCCATCCAAAGCTCTAGAACCCGGTCTCTCCTGCTTTACCTATAGCTGGGGGGAGAAGAAGAGAATTCATACCTTTCCCAAGGGTATTAGCACATAAGTGAATGCAATGGATTCATCTGGAATTCGAACTCAGCTCTCTAATTCTTCAGTCCGAGCTGCTATCCATTATTCCACTGTGCCTCCCCATTTTAAGTACATAGAAATCATTATTTTTCCATTTCCTCTCTTATTATTTCACATCTATAAAAGTTGAAAAAAACTACCCCACATGTTTCATGAGCATTTATATGACAGGAACCAACTTTGAACATTAAATAAAATCTCCCATTTCACCATTTTAATAATATAATTAGAAAGTTTAATCTTTATTACAAATTTTGATAGCTTCTATTTCCTGTGAAATATTTGTTAGAAGTTTTATATATTCATATAGCTTTGAAAATTGAAGTATGAATAATTCTTCTTAATTCTCAATATAAATTCAGCTTAAGGTTTTGTTTCTTATATGTAGAAATATGGCAGTTTCCTTGCTCTATCCATCTTAACATTTTATGATCTATTTTAAAATATTTGGGGACCCTGTTTTACAAATATTGCTTTGATAAATATATAAAGTTAAATGCAATCCTTTTACTGCAAAATATTACAAGTTAAACGTGGTGTTGTAATATTTTGTATAAATTCTTTTTGCTGGAATAGAAATCATTAGGAATTTTATTCACAAAAGGTTTAACAGTTAGTATTCAGATGCTTACATATGAAAAAAACATGATTTTATGATATAGTACATTTTTAAGTTTTGTGGTGAAAAATATGAAAATTCACTTAAAAATATGACTAGAAAAGGACCAATTGCTTTCTAGTATAAATTATGCAAAAATTATGAGTTTGGATGTTTTTGCTGCATTCATCATACAGTTTTTCAAGTTAGCTTAAATTTTTTATTCTTGGTTTGTTTTTTTATCAAAAAGTTTAGCTAAATTCATTCATTTCATAATATGCTTGGTGCAGTTAAAATAAAATTTAATTTTCTCCCATTGTTGACTTTATGGTTTCTGAAAATTTGAATCATTAATTTAAGAAAGAAATCACGTAGTTTAACAGTTGCTGCTTCATAAATTATAGCTAAAAATCTCTGGAATACAGTGAGAGGAAAATGAATAACACGTTTGTATTTCATATATATATTTCTGTAGCTAATTCCCTGGACATTTAAATGATTCATTTTTGGGAGAAGAAT